AGGTTTGCTGTGACCTTTGGTAGGGACGGACTTTGACCTTACACTCCACAATTACATTCCAGGATATGGGGCATTCGCTGACCTCGCGATTTCTGAACGGGTCACTGCTTCTGTTATCTTCTCGACTTACATTTTTTCTTTTTTGTCCGAACAAAATTTTTTTTTAAATCAAAACAAAATTTTATTTTGTTATCTCCATCGTTTTTTTTTTTTTTTTTTTCCCGCACGCATGTATTACGACTTTGGGGTCGCACAAATTGAAGAGGAAATGTGTAAACGAAGAGAAGTGCCTTTCCCGCCTTCATTCTACTTTGTCAAGGGCATCCTTGGGTAGGATAAATGTGGATCGCGGAGTTCGCGTTGGGGTATTTGTAGCGGTGGGCATCACTCGATGTTTTCTTGGAAATCAATATTTTCCCAAAAAGTAAAGTGGGGTGGGCAATGACTTGGGTATGGGCGAGGACTCAGAATATTACATATAGTCGGCGACAAGTCAAGAACCCAGGGCGAGCAAAAGGAAGGCTGGGGAGGAGGAAGCAGACGAATGTCGGAGAGGCGAAAAGGAAACATCCCCCTCTCTCCAGCATTCTGCCTGATTCCTCCTTTCCATCCTTCCTTTCCCTCATCCTGAATTCTTAACCTGTCACTGACTATAGAAATGTAAGAGATATTGCAAAAATTTTGAGTACTGTCAGTGTTTGACACTGACAGATAGATTAAATAGGAGATTATGTTACTTGCAGCTAAAATCAGAAGTTCTGCGAATTCGCACAAGCCTACCACAACGATCTGGACGTGTAGCGGGGCTTGAGCCATTATATTTTCAGTATTAATAATGCGAAATTAGGTTTTGGTGCAATGTTGGCGCAAGTTCCTCACATTGGGTCTGAACGTAGCAGGATAAGCCCTCTGGTGTAGTTTGGTGCAAACGGCACAGCAATCACAATCACATCACTGTTGTAGGTTACACGCCTGGATCAAACATATACCTACGCCGCACGACACTGTTAATGCACAGAACTATGTCAGTGCTGAAGCAACACTATAGAGAGTATTCACTGGCGGCCGTAGCTGTCTGCGCAACTGCTGAGTGCGTGCTGACAGCGAGCTTCCACAGTTCTTTTGCAACGTGCATTCTGTACCCTCAAGATTGTTGGTCTTAGCAGCCTAATAATGTGAGCTCAGTGTGAGCATGCGCTCTGAACATCGCCCTCAAATATGGCGTCCAGTGAATACCCCCTATAGAAACAGCGTCGTTTTGAATATAGTAGCGCTGTCTTCAACATAGTAGCGCATCTTCAACATAGCAGCGCATCTTGAACATAATTATCAGCGATGCAATGCTGTATCAGCACTGTGCACAAATATAGCAGAATGTAAGCACTGCATCTGTGCTAAGACCAGCGATATTTCCAGCACTGTATTTGTGAACAGGCCTGATAAAGTTTGCCTGATATGGTCAGCATCGCCACAGCAACAGAGTTTTCTTTACGGAGAAACGGGCAAACGCAGCGTTTGAAGCCAGCAACTGCAGACACCATCTTCCGAATGTCATCTGCTAAGGTGAATACGGCGATGCCAGCCTAAGTCCGACGCGCCATTGTGGAGGTCGACGCCGAGAGCGAAAAGCGGTTGCCTGGCAAACCTTTGGTGGTTCCAACGAGGCTTGGTGCATGCGCGGGCCTGAGATTATAATAAGGTTTCCTTGAGCGAAGCAAGGGGTAACCGTGCATGGCGAAGTCTGTTTGAGAGCCTAGTTTTGGGCCCAAGCTAGAGTTGCCGTGTTGGTAGCAGATGACATTTGGAAGGTGGCACAGTTGTAGCTGGCTTCAGACGCTGCGCTTGTGTGGACGTCTATTATTGACATTTGGTGACCACAGCAGGCAAACATTACTGTGCAGAAGGAGACAGCGGTGTGGTGAGATCAAGTGCATACTTCGACTTTCGCTGTACTTTTCAATGTGTGGAACATGAACAAAAAGTTCCAAATAAGTGCTTAATGCTGATGGCTGGTTTTCTCCAGTGCTGAATATTTTGACGAGCCTTACCCGAAGAGCGCGTTTTTTTGGCCATCCGACGGCTGTATTTGTTTTCCTGGAACATGGGGCTAAAGTGCCACACTGCCAAAAAGCTCCCACCTCAGGACAGTATTTTGGGTCGGTAACACAATGACAACTCTATATGCAAAAGTACTTTCGAACGAGTTAAGCCTGCTGAGATGCGCAAAACTGTTTGGAACCTAAGTATAATCGCTTCCAGGTTGGTACCCTGCCTGCATCAGCTCCTAAGGCATGAGTTGAAGTTTAATTACCATATATTAATTAAAAACCAGTGTTTCCCTAACAAGATGTAGAAGAAACCCAAGTTCTTTTGAAAGAAAAAGAAAAAAAAAAAGTTGTCAGTTTTAAATTTTACAAACTCCTAATGCTTTGTTTCACTTCCAACTCCCTGCTGAAGCCTTACTAAATTGGCATCTCATAATGAAACATGACATTGGTAGCAGAGCTTCCATAGTTTCTAGACATGAAGTATTAAAAAAGAGAAACAGCTGTGCTTAAAGGGGTCATGAAACAATTTTTTTTCAACTTTTCCCTTCTTAGCTTTCCTCCTCAACTCACAAATCGCACCCTGTACCAAACAGTTCAAAGAGACGGAACGGAGGGACTCCCCTCATGCTCGGACCCCTGTCTGTGTACCCAAACAGGGCCACTCTCCTCCTAGAAGATTAGCCCGTCGCTGAAAACTCGGACAGAAGTTGGTTTCCTCACTCCGTTCACCCCAAAGCTGACTGTGCGGTGGAAGCTACCTGCTCGTTGGGCCAGCGATACTTTTGCCCCGTGATCACGCTTCCTTGCGCATACCCACGCGCAGAAAATAAGGTCAGGTGATGAAAGGGAGGCGGCTGATTGGTCCGGCAAGTGCATAGCTTGCACTGCACTGAGCTAAGGGGTGAAGGGAATAAAGAGGTCCGGTGTCGTGCGACGTGCGTTTAAGCCCGGTGACGCGCTTTGGGTACCACGGATGTATCCCAGTGAAAAGGCAGAGAGCTTACCAAGGGAAGGAGGTACGAAATAGTTTGTGGTGTTTTCAAATTTTTGTACTGAAAATCAGGCTTTTGACATTCTACCTTCTTTCTTTTGGCCCACTAAATGATAAGCTATTAGTAAAATGCCAATCTAAATTCATTCATACCAGACAAAAATTTGTTTCATAACCATTTAAATATTTTTCATTGACTTTCAGAATTGCCTGCTTGATAAAAAATAATTAAAAAAATAAAACTGGCTTTGCCCGACTTCTTTCAGCCCTCGATGATCCAGCAGTGTCAAACTCGGAAAATGCATAAAAGTATGTGAAGCCAATTTAACAAAGTTCTAAACTCAACATAATGACTTTACCTGAGACTGGGGTTTTAATACAGGAGAACTTAAACACATAGAAGTCTACTTGTTTGAGACTCCCATGTGTTTCTGTAGTATTGTAGTAAAACCCCCGTCTTGGGCAAAATCACTATTTGACCTTCACCAACTTACTTGCACCCCTTGTTTTTTCCCCCTTAAAACTCACCTTTTTTACAGTATACAAGATTTCCTGTTCCTTTCGAAGTAGTGACTGTGTCAAGGGCAGTTTGTCAACCTCGTCGAGTGCTTTCAGTGCTGCGTCAACATCCTGTAGTAAAGCATTGATCTGACTTGGCGTCCAGTGCAGAGTTTGCGCCGAACCCTTACCTTTCCACTCACGCCAAGGTTATTCTTGATGTCCTTGTCCAGTTCAGAGATTCGCTTCTCAATCTGACCCTCTGTGAGGAGGACGATAAGGATCAGCCCACAACCCCCAGCGTTTCCACCGAGAAGAGCAAGCCTTACTTACGTTTCATTTTCTCAATTTTCTCTTTCCGTTTTTTTTCCAGCTTTTCCTTCTTCAATCTCTCCTTTTCTTCTTCCTTCTCGGCACTATAAAGGAGCAACGTTTCCCCACGTGAATGCCATGCACGCCAAAACAATGTCTGCCCATCGTGGTTTCTGACGCAGCTCAAAAACAATCTTAACCATTAAACACCGGCGTTACTACGGCTACAGAATGGTGCTACTGCTTTCGAACTTGTAGCTGGAGCTTGCTGCATTGTATTGCCAAGTGCTTCTAGGGTATGGGTTGTTGGTATGCAGATGCAAAACTGTGCTGGAAAAAAACCTGCGCAAATTATTTCTGCAATGCAGCTATATTCATGCAGCACCAGTAGAGGCCAAACACTGCCTCAGATGATGTAATTTTACGTTCACGTCGAAAGCACAAGAGACAATTTAAATGGGTACGAAATCGAAACTTGAAATATCCGCGGAACACTTCGAAACAGGTGAAATTTGGTCCATGATATCCATAAATGACAATCGCATGCTTGTATTTTTAGTGGATGGCTACTTTTTTCGTTTCAACCAACGAATTCTGGCGAGCGCTTCAAAAGCAGTCACTGAGGCAGAGCGATGCATCTCAGGATATTTGCCTGTGACGTCGCGCTTGTAACATCACAGGCCCATAAATGGCCAAGGGTACCGTAACTATGATCGTCGTCACTAGGTGGCGCCAGCTTTATCGTCAATGTGTTACAATCTCGCCAAGTGGGAATACCAGAGGTACGGTGTACTAGAACTGAGAGGTGTGCCAGGCACTGCTCGTTCCCGCACGCCTCCCATCGGACACGCTGCGCCGTGGCACTGCTCCTGATGGGTCCGTGACGCGAGACATTCCAACGAAGCTCGGCCCCCCAACTACCAGCCGGTATTGGGAAATCGTTTTAAAATTGTCTTTCTTGCATTTACGGATGAAAGACTGGCGTTTGCGAGCTGCTGTCAAAAGAGGCCACATCTACACAAAGAAATAGGCGCTAAAATTTTGTGCTTTAAGCCTTTATACGTAAGGAGGCACATAGTGCAAATATATTTCAAATTTATTCTCAAGCCGTATAAACCTCCAGGAAGAGAGAGCTCACAGAACAATACATGTAAATCTGCGTACATTTATTCAAGGAAGATACATGAATTACATACAAATAAAAAAAAAATGGTAAAAGGTAAAAAAAAAATGACGATTGCAATGACAAAAATAAAAATGAATTTGAACAATGAAATGTCTTGGCACTGTTGCAATACAAATGATGCAAAGCGGTGAGCTATAGAGGAAATGGTGTAACACTACTTAAACAAACGTGGGCCTTTTAACATGGATAAGTCGTGGTATAGACAGTTACCTAATAACCTCCACGCTTATAGGAGACACAGGGAATCTGAGCAAACAGAATTTTAAAATCAAGAAAGAAATGTCCTGAATGGACTGAAATGCCCCCAGTCTTGAAACCTTTTTAGTATAAAGACAGATAATGCCAGGAATAAAGAAAAATGCACACGCAATGTGAAACTCCCATGTCATGTAGACACAAGAAAGCTCCATTGTGGCTATGAGTTAATTTTTTCACGTCTTAAATAAAATATTAATAAAAAAATTAAAAATGTGCAGACTAGATCGCAATTAGCACACTCCAGACGGAAACATTATGCAAATATTAGAGCAACACTGTTGCAGTAAGCAGAAGAACCATGCAAAGTGCCAACTATTTAAAAACAATTCTAAGAATCAGGATGACGAGAATGAAGCATGGGTACACAAATGACTAATATGATGAGACATTTTCACACAATTCTTGTGAAAAAAAGAAAAAGGATATCACTTTTTTTTGCCTGCTCAAGGCAGACCCTGTGACCAAACATCTGTCTCAACTGAAATGTCAAAATTGAGTTTTCTTTGTTCCATTGCACAAAGCAGAGAATAGGATGTTAGAACACTAAGTGAAGCTCAATCAAGCAAAATATCATAAACAGTAAAAGCGTGACATTTTGGTGAAAGCCATTTGCTCCGGTGGGGTATGGGTGGGGAAGTGCAGCATTAGACATCCAGAAGCTCGAAGAAGCGTGTGTAGATCCCCGTCAGATGTGCCTCACGCTCTCGTAACTCTTGGATGTAGGTGCGGAGAAACTGGAGCTCCTTGCAAATATCAGAGAGATGAAGTCCTCCCAAGGTTCCTGAGTGACAAAACGTAATTGGTGCTAAAAAGACACCTGTTTTGGATGTCAGTTGCATGGGATGGTAAATCCAGGTTCAATTATGGGAACTGAAGTTAAAAGCCGACAAAACTAGCTCTAACAAAATACCACAGCCCAGATAGATAGTACCACATTTACTCAAATAATCGCCACATCATATAGAGGGCGACTAAAGTCACCAGGCTCGATCTAAAATGGGCTGTAAAAATCTGCGTCTGCACGTAGCTATCTAAACTTTTGATTAAAAGTGCATTTATAGGTTGGTTTCTTAATGTAAAATTAGAAAGCGTAGCTCCCTTTCTTTAAAAAATATAGGGCCAAAAAACTTGCCGGGGTTCATGGCAGCCGGCGACACAGACGACGGAGTTAAGTGGCGGGACGCGTTTGGCGCACATACTGATAGATGGTGCTATCTCGTTATCGAGTCGCATTCGGGACGACCGTGGCCTACTAAAATTAACATAATCTTTGTAAAACACCAAAACATAAAGCAAAAAAGAAAAAAAAATGCAGTTGCATATTGACGGCGCTTTGGCTGCCGACGGATTTTGTCTGTGCGCCGGCTGCTTTCTTTCGCTTGTTGGCTACACCTTCCGACGCTGATCCCGACGCCATCTATCAGTACGCGAGGCAAACGTGACCCGGCACTCCACTTGGTCGTCTGCATTGCTGCCTGCAAATGACTGGCAAGTTTTTTGGCCCCATTTTTTACAGAAAGGGAGCTACACTTTGTAATTTTACATGAGAAAACCGACCTGTGAAATCCACCTTTGACGAAACATTTAAAATTGCTACATGCAGGTGCCGATTTTTACGGGATATTTCAGATTGAGCCTGGTGACTTCAGATATATGACCAAGATTTGCGACTCTTTCCTCCAGCAGAGTTCACAAACAGCCGATTCCTGCTATGTACACAGTAGGCAAAGCACACGACAAAACTCAAAAAGTATATGTTGCCGAAAAAAAAAAAAATCTGCACCGGAATTGGGGACATTAAGATGTCATGCACACTGCCTCATTACTCGTTAAGTAGCTTTAGTCTATCTATATGATCAAGGGCATGTAAAAAGTGCAGGCCTTTGTCATAAATGGCACAACTATTGTTTGAGTAAACAAGACAAATAAATCACAACCTGCAGCCTTTTTGGTCATGGTTGCATACTCGAGTCTCATGTCAAGGAGGCCCTAATGAGTATGTAACTTAATAGCAAGTTAATGCCACCAGATCAATTTCCCTATATGCCAAAAGGATGAAATATAGGGCCACTGCTGCTTTTATCATATTAGCTGTCTAATGTTCTATACACATTTTGCTCATAAACCAGTACCTGAGAGGACCTTTCTTGCTACACTAGAATCAGAAACTATTGCTTAGATAGTGATGGTTCATACTCTGCATGAGACTATTTACCAATAATTTTGAGGGCACGATGAACCATCAAAAGAAAAATAATTATATTGAAAGGTTTTGACAACCTAGAGTGTGCACAAGCAAGCAGGAAACATTGCTGGAGCAGATAAAATTAATCGGGGCCAGTTTTTGTGGCAATATTATGGAAAGCATAGGTATGCATACTCATGTCAAAAAGTCTATAGAACATGTGTAAGCATTAGTGCAACTGACACACTACTGTAAGCAACTCGTGTGTGCCATCAAACTGCCAAAGCATTTCTGAAGGAAGTACTTCCCGAGTATATGTCGTTTATTAGCCGATGCACAAAACACATGGTTGTCCCTGAGAGTACTACCAGAGCCACTCTTGAAAGAGCTACCTGAAAAGCCATTTCTAAAAGGGTATCCTGACCAGAAAGCCTGCAAAGTTCCCCACATGTCTCAACAACCTACCCAGTTTAGGATCATAATGAACTTGGCGAGTACGTAACTTAGCCAAAAACAACTGAGAAGAATGAAATGGTAATCTGGGAATCGTTGCATTACTCAACAAAGCATAACCCCTATTTTTGTTTCAGAACTGAATTGAGAAGTCCAAGTCAAGAATTTATGCAAATTTCTCTGTGTTGTATATCTTAGCTCATCTGTAGAATCCACTAATGAACAAGCACACAGAGGAGAAGCTGAGAAACCAAGAATGAATTTCTGCACTCCTCTAGCAAACCATAAGGAGAAGTCAACTATGACTTTTAAATTAAGAATAAGAAAAATCAATAAATAATAAATTGGTCAAACTAGAGCGGGAGTGAAGAATTTCTTTTTCACAGTCTCATCCTTAAATAATTAATTGAGCTACATTAGGATGCTCAATTAGCATGCACTTCTCAGATGCAAAAGATAAAATAAAAAAATTGTGTTTTTAATTTTTTGGGGGAGGTTTTTACACACATAAGTGATTAGAGTAAATTATAAACAAAGTGAAGCATGGGCTCAAAGTGTTAGCTAATGTCATCAAACAGAAATGTTAAATCATCCCATAAATAAACAAGTTGGAATAGGGATGGCATGTTTGCATGCAATTGCCAGCCCAATGGCTCACCATGCAGTAATGTTTGGAACAAAGCAATCACTCACCATTGATGTCAAACTGCCGCAATTTTTTCTGTAATGTTTCTAACGGGAGGTTACTTCTGGAAACAAAAACGACCGTTTTGTGGAAGGGCACTGCTGAAGCTTGTATCGAAAAAAAAAAAAGTGAGACATTGTACAACATCAGGCACAAGTTGAAACTGCAGCAGCGTAAAATGACATGTTATTCCGATATCGACTTCCCAGCCGAGATGGTTGACAGGATACAATCAGGAACGTTTCTGGACTTTTTCCAGTAATACAAGAAGTATTGAGGTGCTTTTCCTAAAACATTTAAAACTTCTTATATGCACAACCCGAAATGCTTGCATTCAGGGTTAATATGCTCCCACAAGTTGGATATGGGATTCTGAATGTCAACTGGGAATCGAAGGGTATTTTGACAGGGCTGCTTTAAGCTACTACCACACTAGTGTTCCTACTGTGCAGTTGGAGACAAAGTGCAAAAGCCAGCGATTCCAATTTAAAAATAAAGAAAAATATGAAAAAAAAGGTATCATATTTATTTGAAAATGGGTCGGCCTTTTTCACCAACGGGCCTGTGTGTCTACTTATGTCGAGAACCCACGAAGACCAATCATTAAGACTTATGAAAGGGGCCACTGAATGGCAAAGCGGAGATAATGTTTGGAATAAAAAAAAAGAAGTGATCCACACGAAACTTATTTCTGTGTTCCGACGTTATTGGTACCTCGTCATTTGCTGGGCCTCTTCCGTAAATCGCAATATTCGGCTCTTCTAGAGTGTTGCAGATAAATACACGTGCAGGCAACGTTAATAAAGAGGTCAACCTATTTTTCATTAAATACGGTAGGATGAATAATAACCTCCTTGTTACCAACCAAGTGATTTGGAAGAAAAAAAGTTTTCTGATGTTTCATTGCAAAAAGATTAAGCCCTGGTGGAGATTAAACATAAATTTAGTACAGCTGAGGATGTACCGAATTACTACAAAAACATAAGTAAGACAGCTTGGGGCAACCGGCTTCCATCAAGTTGTGGCAACCTCAGTTGTAACTGAATTTCTACCCTTGAGCAGCAGCGCTACACTTAGGAGGAAAATCCCCTAAGTGAATTTGCTGCAATGAGGATGAACAGTCCATGCATCTATACATATCCTAAAAAAAGAGGTGCCCTTGCTAAACAAAAAAAAACATTCAAGGCACCTATGCGCTTCTAAACCCGGCGTAAACTTTTCATGCTACACTGTCAAGGCTAGCTTGGATTCCAGTGCGCTGTGAAAGTTACTTCCACGAGCGAGATACAAGACAAAGCCATATGCCGGTGCAGCAGTGTGAAACTGGAGCACTGTGCAGACCAGGGTAGCCTTAACAACATTGCACAATGGCAAAAAAAAAAAAAAAAAAATCATAGATTTTTTGCATTGCAGCATAGAGTTAAAGTAGCTTGGCTTTGATATTTTATCAAAGCAATTTTTAAGTGCTAAGAACCTCGTTCTAGTCAGTGCAACAGAAGAGCATGGCGGCAACAGCAACATAAAAATAATTACTGTAAATAATGTCAATTTCAGGAGTGCTATATGCCATGAATTTGGCCAAAGGTAGGCTTTCGTAACGTTAGCGTTACGTAACGTTAGTATTATTCTCTAAAAGGAGAAAAGGCAGGTTAGAGATGGTTGGTTTTGTCCAATGCACTTCTAACGCTGTCACATTTCGAGGAAATTATGAACATGGCTTGTGGCGATTGGCCCATAACATTTTGTAACTAAATACAAGAAATTTTAGGGCAGAAACCAGGTACTTGCGTGACTATTGTCACCAAGGTCACAAGACAAACAAAAGAAGTAAAGAAGCTGCGTGCCAGATGCTTCTTCTAATATGAAGGAGGCATTGCCTTCCGTGACTATAGTCCACCATCTTAATTTAAGGCCGATTTTCGCCGTGTCTATCAGATCCACAGGATCCTGCAGGTGAAGTTCTTTCACATTAGCAATTAAAAATGTGATTGTAGCAGTTATGCCGAGGCCCTCAGAAGCATCTCACTAACTTTTGAAAAGAAATGTCAGTAAAGGTATGCAATAGTGTGTTCAGGTAGGTTCGGTTTCCGACTCATGGCTGATTCAACTTAAAGGGATACTACAACGAACTTTCAGTGCTTATTTCTTGGCCTATTCGTGTTCAATGGAGCATTATCACATCCAATCTCTTGTTGAAAAAGACACGAAAAGGAATTTTAAAACGAAGTAAACGATTAGCAAAGAGCACCTGGTGGATGTCGCAAACCCCTCATTTGTAATGCCTGTCTAAGAACCTTGACAGGTAGTGACGGTAACTGTCTCGCCTTCGGCTATGACGAGAGAAGAGCTGAAGGAGAAACTCCCCTCTCCCCGAGGCAATCTCTTTTGTGTCCCAGAAGTCGCTATTGTCCCCCTAGAAGATTATAGAAGATTAACCCGTCACTCAAAATTTGAATACAGACAGCCTATCCAAGGCCGTGTGAATGCCATGTGACCTTGAAGGCAGGGGCACAGCGAAGCGCAGAAAGAGTATCACGGGCTACGTCCACAGAGCGGGATGGGCTGGGATAGTTCGCAGCGTCCGCTGCGTCCAGACAAAAAGTCCCGAGACAAACTACGTCACGATTACGGCGAATGTGACGTGCTCTCCACTGGCTGCTCTCCAAGCATTTGCTGCTACAGTGGGCCGTTTATAACGAAAAATACAGCCATCAGGCTCAATATACAAACGTGCGATTGTCATTTACGGATATTGTGGATCATGTTCAGCCTATTTGAGAACACGACAGGTATATTTCAAATTTGGTTGAAGTATCCCTTTAAAATATGATACAGTCGAAACTCAAAAATTCAAACTCGAGGGGGACCGAAAATTTGTTTGAATAAAGCAAAGTTTGAATTACCGGTGGTTTTCTCCCACAGAGACACATAGGATGGGACCTGCATGTCAATTTGAATTATCCGCAAGCTTGAACTAAGAGTGTTTGAATTACCAAGATTCGACTGTACAATAGGAGCTTTTAGTTACGTGCAATCTTTTGAACATGTTTTTTCTCATTTATACTGATCCTAAACGAAGCGGAGGGTTTTAATACTGCTTCCACAATATTAACAATTTTCTCGATTTGCTAGCATGAGCAATTTTTAGTAAATTGTAGGTGATTGCAATAATCAGGTCCTCACAAAAAGGAACTCGTTTACAGTTGTTATTAACAGGCATGAAAGTAGGCTTGTCAGCCTGTCGTCAGGCCATCATGATAGCATTTTAGAATGTCCGCGATCACATTAGAATTGATTGATATTTGAAGTGTGTAGGGCTCTAATATTCCTTTAGGATTTTCACACAAAAAACAGACCTATTTTCCTTTATTTAGGTTTTTTATCTCGCAGACTCAACTTTTTCACGATTCTTATTTATTTAGCAAAAAAAAAAACCCATTGGCGGTTTTTTCTACAAGCTTTCAATGGCAACGTTTGTTGCGCGGTAGAGCTAGGAATAATTTTCGGGGCAGGGGACGGCTTCAGCTTCAAAAATGGCAACGTGACATTGCTTTTCATCTCAGGGATAAAGAAAGTGGCCCACTTCTATGCCGTTGCAATGTTTCAGTTCATTCCTGATTTTGTTTGGGCAACACCGAACTGCAATTTTTTGGCTAATCTTGATAAACATGCATATGCACAAAGCAATGTCGCCTACGAGGACCAAACAACGAAAGCAGACAGCCGTAGCAAAAGGACCTCCTTTTGGGGTTTCTCGGAGCTGCCGCTACTTGGAGCCGACTTTTGCTAGAGTCGCAAAGAGGCACACCTTTGACAGGACCCATACCCATAGTGTGATTAGTCCCAGGTATTCTAAGACACCTTTCGGAGCAGCCAAACATTCATTGTGGAGCACCAAAACAAATCTTTAGACCACAAGCAAATACTTCATTCTCATTTGTGCTTGTGCAAATACTACATTAAGATTTATAAAGAACCAAAAGACAATACCATCTTTGTTTGCCTCATATAAAACCACTGACTGGAACCAACTGCAGAGGTTCGATACCAAAAACATTCAACTGGCCGTCAAGTTGTGCCTAAAAGCACAAGGCACAAAAACAAGAACTCGTGAAAAGAGCCCTCAAGCTTGTTTAAAAAGCTCCAAGTTAACAATTCAAGGGCACAGCATTACCACCCATAAACAGTAATATTAGGAACTGAAGCAAAGCTAGACCAAGTAGTGTTCCAGAGAAATAATGTTTATAACAGAATTATTTCATTACAAATTGAATCTTTTGTGTGTAATAGATAGAAAAAAGTTGTCAATTAATTATGCACATTAATGGAGTTTAGCACATACACAGTTCTGTTACTGTCAGCACGTGGGTGATAAACAATCCCCATCTACCATCAAATTCTGAGAAAGCACCCACCTAAAAGTTGCAGATAATTGCGAAAAATGATTGATGGGTGCTCCTTAGGTCTGTGAGCAGTACAGCAGAACGAGCTCGTACTAGGAGGACTCCTGCTTATGGTGAATTCCACTCGCAGATCTTGGGCGCTCCAAAAGCACTCCATTTAGAGCGCGCATATTCCGCTCACAAATTTGGCTCGAGTTGGTTGTCTTCCGCTCGTAGGTCTCTGGCAGTGCCCGCTCCACGGAGTGCCTCAAACACCGCCGAACTTGCTCTGCGGGATTTCACAGATCTTTCCGGAAGTTGACAGAGCGGCCCACGTGATTTCTTTTTAAATCGGCAGTGCACATGCGCGGCGAGGTTTGAGAGGTCGGCGGGCCGGTCGGGTTGTCGAGTTGGATCTGTTCGGGTGCGTCGGTTGTTTACGCGAGATTGTGACGGTTCAAACGTTTCTACCTTGCGTAGATCAGGGATACAAAGCCGGGACTGTAGAGCGTGGTAAATCGAAAGCGCTGACATCTGTGATCGTGAGAGGAAGAATGAGAAAAAGAACGACAGAAAAGCCGGAGACAGACGCAAGGTTAGGCGTATTCATTCTGCAGCCAATGATTGTTTACCTCTTTACACTGCATTCCGCCGGCGTTTTCCCGTGCAATAAAGCAAGAAG